AAAGAGAGAGAGGGTTGATCAGTTGATCTGCCGACCCACTCTTAATATTTATATATGTTGACTAATTGTAAAAGGGCTGAATTGCCCTTATTGCTTACATGGAAAATAAACTAATAATAAAGCTGAAATAACAAGCTGTAATAACAAACTGAAATAACTACCAACTAACACTGACATAACTAACAAAAATAAACTAACAAAAAATATGCTATGCTGCCATACGAACACAGTGGGGACCACAGCAGTGGGGTCCACATCAGTGTTCTCTACAGTATTTTTAGTAGCATAATTTTCATTTAGAGTTCATCATTTAATTTCAGTTCAAATTATCAAGATAATATTCTATTACCTTGAAGTTATATTTGATCTGCTAATTGATTAGTTTTCTTTCTCCAGAAAAAGGAAAGTGGCAAGAGAAGGAAAGAGGATCACAACTTAACAAGAAAAAGCAAGGATAAAAAGGTCTGCTTTTCTTCTGTTTTCTTTTGTAGATGATGAATGGTCTAATGATCTATTGATGTTCCATGCTGTTTAATATTGGGCATAATTGTATTTGCTGCTCATTTCTAGGGTTGACTATATGTGTGTGTGTGTGCACTGCCCAACATTAGATATTGAAGGGAAAGATGCACAACAGCAGAAGCCTGACCTCACAAACACATAAATAATTAGAAATAAGTGTTTACAATTCCATCCCAGGTCCAGGACATCTCCAAACAGGTTTTCCTGCATGTTCCTTGATTTTGCTAAAGAATCTGCCAGATGATTTGCGTGTATGTGTAAGTTAATAACTCGACTAAACTTAGAAAGTGCTATTAACTATGGGATCAACTATATGATCCTGTTTCAATATTCCACTTTATCTTTCAAATTGTGAGCCTTCAAATTTGTTACTACCTCAACAAATGTCCCATTTGGCCTCCACCTATCTCTTCTAAAACCATGAACTTACATCAGAATACTTATGGTGTATTAGGTTGTCTTCTATTACAAGCACACACATCTTAGTCTACTTACCCTCATTAATCACCTAGCAGGACTATTACTAGATTCCAATGGATGTGGTCATTTTTAAATGTACTTAATCCAGAAGTTGGTGGAAAAAAACAAGCTTTGATGGATGCAGCTTTGGTGAGATTCGTGCATTGGGGTGGTGATTAGTGACAATAGGAGAAATATTAAACCAAGTTACTTGGGGTCAGTTGGTTATGTCAATTCTTTAGGGGTAGAGCTGCTAACTCTAATACAATGTCTGAGGTATATTGCCATGGAATGGTGGAGAAAACATACAAGTGGTAGGGGACTGTGAAGTTGTCATAAAATGACTGGGTTTGAGGGAAGAAGTTCTGTGGATGTTCAAATTCCTGGTTAGAGAAGCAAAGGCTCTATTCTTCAACCTGAACTGGTTTTCAGGTGGATCTGTAGATAGGCTATTAGTTTGGCACATTCTTACCTAGGGCTGGGGTCACAAGAAACAAAACTGTATGGGAAACAGAAGGGACAGGGTGATTTGTAAAAAGTGGAAAGTAATAGTCTTTGCCTGCATTTTTGCTGCTCTGTTGTACTCTGAATACTTTACCCATGGTGGTGCTGGTGGGGGTTGGGGGGGGCAGAGTTAACCTTTTGGTCTGGCCCCCAACCCCCAAGTTGCACTCATTGGAGGGTACAACTCATAAATAGTCAATATCAACTTAATTGGAAAAATTGGTCTTCAATCTCTTAATATTTTCCATTTCCTTGTTAGTTGATATGGGCTGACCATTTTTCTGTTTCCTTTTTTAATACATGTAATTCTGTTGAATCTATATATTTAGGGTATGGATTTTGGCAATCCCATTGTTGATAAGCCAGGAAAATCCCAAGTGAAAAGATGAAAAAAAAAACAACTATTTATAATGATAAAAATTCTATACACGGGTTATTTGTGTTTTTTGAACCAAGTACTTATAATTAATAGGGGAATGGCTGGTTTATAAAAGAATGGTATCTGCTCAATTGCTGACCTAGACTTCTTTGCTTTTAATGATTTGGCATTAATTTGCAACCCCACTAGCAAACTTCGAAGTTGTTAGACTTAACAACATTATAAGAAAGCTTTTTCTTGTTTTAAAATGCTGGCTTTAGTCCTTTACATATAAAAGACATATTAAGGACCATGGGTCGGGATCCAGTTCTGTAAGTGGAAGAAATTGGCTTCTAAGTTCTTGGTGAGTTGGTTCTCCTATTTGAGTCTTATATATTTTCAGATTTTCCTAAATATATAAAAACTCTGAAACACTGTTCCATTCTTGCCTGGAATAGTCAACTTGTAAAAAGATTTTGACTGTTGAAATATTCCTCTATTTTGAACTGTGAAGTAAATCCAGTTGGGTGTTCATGGGGTGATCTAATGGAATTTAAGGATTGGATGATGTTTCTGTTGGAAGTATCTATATTGTTATGTCTTTAGGTCCAGTGATTTAAAAGGCGCGCCTAGGCGCACAGGCAAGGTGCATTTTAGTGTATGTGCCTCGCCTAGTTACTAGGCGCAGCCCTTTCAAAAGGCGTACGCCTGATGCGCCTAGGTGTGTGCCCTGTTCATTCATTCATTCTAATAAAATATCTTCTTAAAAGGCAATTAAAGTTATAAAACCATTGTTTTTTTTTTTTTTTTATGTGAGAACTTGTTTTGGCTTGCTTAGAGGGGCATGGTAAAAAGGAAGCTCGTAGAATCAGGAATGCAATATGTTTTACATCACTTTAGCTACTTGAAGTAATGCAATTGAAGAAAAAAAGGGATTGTGGGTTTTACATGCTTGAAAATGCTTCATATGTTTGATTTTATTTTTAAACTAGCAGGGGCCCGCGTGATGCACGGGCTTTGTTCAGTGAAAGTGAAACAATGGAAATACATAATAGTAAACACATTTTTTATTAATTATTGGTAATTTTCTGCTATTTTTATTAATTCCTTGTAATTATTATATTTTCCAAAAATATTGATAATCTATATTTTCTTGGTTAATTTCTGTTCATTTCTACTAATTTATGACAATTTTTGGTAATTATTGATAATTTTCTCTTATTTCTATTAAATTTTGTAAATTATCGTATTTTCTGAAAATATTGGTAACTAATTTATCATATTCTTGGTTATCATATTATCTATTTATATTATTTATCCTATTCTTTACTATAATTTCTGTAGATTTTGATAATTTTTTATTATGAATTTATTATAAAATAAGTATACAATATTTTAACAATAATTCAACAGTTAATGGTTATTTCTGTTGATTTTTGGTAATCTATCATATTTATTGGAAATATTGTTAAAATCATTTTTGGTAATTGTTTGGATAATTTTTGGTAAATATTATCAATGGTTCAATTTTTGGTAATTTTTGTTATTTATTGGTAATTTTATGCTATTTCTATTAATTTATGGAAATTATCATATTTTAAGAAATATTGGTACTTTATTTCTGGCTATTTTCTTGGCTAGTTTCTGTCCATTTCTACTAAATTATGACAGTTTTTGGTAGTTAAATGAAAATTTCTGCTATTTATAGCGTAAATTATATTAAAATATATAATTCAAATTGAAAATATAGTTTAAATACAATTACTGTTAATCATAGTTTAAAATTTAATTATATTAGTTATAGTTTCAAATATAATTTAAATGTATAAATACTAAAACTGTAAATTATTCAAAGTAAAAATTATTTTGTCATTTTCTAATTTATTTTTAAATATATAATTATACTGAAAACTTAAATATTATTTAAAATTAAATTATATTTAAATATATAATTCAAAATGAAAATTTAACATAGAATTTAAATGTAATTACTGTTAATTATAGTTTGAAAGTGAATTTATTTTAAATAATATAGTTTTAGTATTATTTTGTCATTTTATAATTTATTTTCAAATTATAATTCATGATAATTAAACTTATAGTTGAACCATTGATAATATTTAAATTTAGAATATAATTACTGTAACCATTTACTGTTATATTGCCAGATTATATATATTCTTTCTTATGTTTTTAGAAACCGAATAGTTACTCGTTATATTTTTCAGGAGAAAGTTGTGGAATCTTCTGTGAAGTCCTCATCTCATTTGGCTGCTCGGCCCAATGTTCCGCCGTATGCACTACCTATGATTGCTATGGATAATGATGATGGTATTTCTTATAGAGGTTGGTTTATGCTTCTCACAGTCTTAATTACCACTTAAGCATCCAATGCAAGAGATCCTAGGTGAAACCATGTTGAAAATGGTTAGTATTATTGTTACAGTGGATGTGGCTAGTATTTTTATTACCATTCTTGCTTGGTTTGTGGCAAATGATGGTGGTCTGGGGCCAAAAGGCCCTATAACTTGCAAACTAAGCCATATTTAAAAGCATCATCCAATAGAAGTTCATCATGAAAATATATTGGCTAAAAGGCACAGCTTGAAACATTATTGCAACTGTATTTTGTTTGACTAGCATGGAAGGTGGAGATAAGTTCTTGTGGAACTCTTGTAAATCTCAAAAAAGTAGAACCTAAAATCAGATGGTTAAAAGTTATTGATCATGCTGAGTTTTGGTATATTGTTTCTCTTAGGTAAAACTGGCCATTACCCATTGGTCCCATCTATCTGGGGTCTTAGGAGGGGTGGATTGGACATGAACCTAGGTATTATATTTTATTTTTTGCACAATGGCTGCTCTTAGACTTAAACATGTTCTCAGACTTGTCTAATATTTTACCATTTCATCAAGCAGTGTTTTTCTCTTAGGTAGGACCAACCAAATAGTGCAACCTTATATATGTTATGTGGCAATTCGTTGGGGCAGGGACCCAGCTACTGGCCCTGTTCTCCTCTTTGGCCATGTGGAGGGCTGGCATGAACCTTTCAATGGCAATGCATATGTATCCTTGTGTAGGGTAGTTCAACTAACTACTATAAATTAGGGTTATCTTGTAGAATGACTTTTGTTGGGCAAGTTCTAAATATCTATATGCCCGATATGCCAGTAGGGGCGTATCGGGCAGTATCGGTACTTCTTTTTTTACTTTTTTTTTTTTTAATTTATATTTTTAAATATGGTTCAGGAGGGGCGGTTTAAGGTTCCTCCACCCCCTGAACTGGTCAAAACCCCGATACACCCTCTGTAGGGGCGTATAGGGGTGCTCCCGATACAGGCCGATATGTGTTGATTTTTTGAACCTTGTTGTTGGGTTTTATTTTTAAATAGAAAACTAAAAAAGGGTCTGCCCTTTGTCCTTCCACTCAGCATCAATATATAATAAAATGTGTGGCAGTGATATTGGGACAAGTAGAAAAATGACTTTTCACTGCACCAAGTTCATCTTTTATACATCACATAGGTAGATTTTAGTGGACTTGATGTAATAATCAATAGTCAATAAATTGTATGATCAAGTTCAACTTTAATTATTTTAACTATAATTGGTAAATTATTGAAAGCTAAACAGATTGAGTTACAGACATGAGACAACCAAGATAACATGTATAAAACCAAGACAATCAAGATAATTCAAAATATGCATTAGCACAGTATAAACCTTAGTTATATACAATTTAAAAAAATTAAATTCTGAGGTCATGCATACATTTTAGTTGTTTTAAAATTCAAGCACTGCATTCCTATAAAATATGCATATATTTTACTGATCATGAATATTTTGCATACATTTCATGACAAAGATGAAGATGTGGATAGAGCCCTTGGTTTTCATGGCATAAAAGGGTATGCGACAAACACCTATATTCATTGAAGAAAAGAATAACAAAAATATGGGCGGTCCCTTGTTTTCATGTTCTAATTTGAATGGAACTCTGGAGTGGGAAGGCCAATGATGATTGTTGTTAGGACTACTGTTAGGCTCTTATTAGGCTGTTATTATTTTCTTTCTTTGTTAAGTTGTAACCAACGGTACTATTGCAATTTCCTCTTTTCTTTAAATACCCTAATATATAAGTCAGTGAGGCAGCCGCCACTGACACTTTCCCAGCAAATATTCTTTCTTCTCTGATGTTTCTCCTGTCTCCCTTCCCCTCTTTACTTCTAGATGGTATCAGAACAGGATTGATATCAGTTGAGGCTTGGGTCTATTTGTTTTTTCTTTCCTCCCACTCATATTTTCTCTAGAATCGATTAAGTGTTCTCTGCTATTCTTCCTTTTCCTTTTGGTTGTAGAATAAAAAAAAGGTTATTGTTTTGGGTGTTTTCAGCCTTCATATGATGTTTTTTTTAAGTTCATGGAGGAGTTTCTTTAGTGTTGTTCTGTTGTTGATGTCTGAGATCCATTCAGCTGTGTTGTGCCCTTGTTTTATGGATCTCACACCAAGTTCCAGACCTGGCAATCTGTATTGTGGTGTGTTTGGGGCTTGGGGAGTGCTCTTTTTCCCTTGAACATCTGTTGTTTTGTAGTGTACATTCTGTGAAGGTTGGCTGGAGGTGTTTTCTCTTCCCTTTTTTGAACTGATGGTGCTTGAAGTTTTTTTTTTTTTTTTTTTTTTTTTCCTACTGCTGGTTTTGAGTCTTCCAGCCAGTTGTAGGTGCTGTTAACAGATAAACAGGTCTGAGTTTGTGGTGGTTTGTGCTGTGTACTACTTTCTGGTGCAAGTTTCACATGCAATTACCATTTATTTTGTGTAAGGACAATGTCTACTGAAGATTCAGCTGTCTCAGAAGTTACTTGAAACCAAAATATGACTATCAAGTGTTGAGAGTTGGGGTTTTCCTGTTGCTAGGGCTGTTCACGGGTCGGGTTGGGTCAAATTACTAGTTTTTTTTTTTCAACCGACCTGACCTAGTCGGGTTACCTAAAGAGTAAACTGAAACCGACCCTCTATTAAGCAAAACCGACCTGGTTGGTTTGGCTGCTAAAAAAACCTACCAATGCACCATACTGAAGTTACTGAACATCATTTCAATTTTCAGCCATAAATTGAACTGAACATCACTAATAATAAAGCTTAAACCTGTAATTGAACAATGAACATCACTAATAAAGCCATCTTAGCTTCTAATAATAAAAGCTTAAACCTATAAGTTCATGAACTGAACTGAACATCATTTCAGCCATAGTAGTGATCTCCATGTTATAACAGATCATCATTTCAGCCATAAACTGAACTGAACATCACTAGTAATAAAGCTTAAACAGTTAAACTTATAATTGAACAAGTGAACATCACTGATAAAGCCATCTTGGCTTCTAATAAAGCTTCTAGTTCCAATAAAGCTTAAACTTGTAAGTTGTAACTGAACATCACTAACTTTTGGACTTAAAAACAAGTGTTAAGGTGTAAAAACAGTCATAAATTAAACATCATTTCAGCCATCCAATGATAAAATTTAAATGAAAAATTAATGACAAAAGTTGTTCATTAATCACTAATCCAAAATTTTTTGCAGCCATTCAAAAACTAGGTGGCCTAATGGACTTTGGAACTTCATGTTTGAAGAAGAAATGCTGCCCTGCCAATGACTCAACTGTCAAGAAACAAAAAAGAAAAGTTTGTTTTAGATTGTCACATTACTTGGAAAATGAAATTTTAAATTATTGAAAAAATAATTACACTTGTAAAGATTATTAAGTCTTACCGAAACATCAATCATCATCACTTAATTACACTTGTTCCGTTGTTCCTGAGAATTCTAAAACAAAGAAACAAATATTAGTATGTAACCCAAAAAATTATATAAGTTATTTATTCACAAGATCACAAATATTACCTATTGCGATTTCTTCATATTTTTCCACTTCATCCATAGCTTCTCGAATATCAATTGGGATTGGTTTAGACCTGTAACCAATCTTGGCCACATATAAGAGCCTCCACCATTTTTGGAGATAGTGAGCTTCTAAATGGATCAAGTAAACACCCACTTGTGCTGAATGCCGATTCAGAAGCAACTGTAGAAATTGGCATGGCCAAGACATCCCTTGCTATCATATATTTGACCATAACAAAACTTCACATATTTTAATTTGTAACAAAGATCCAAAACAATGGCAACATATAACAAGAAGTTCAGATTTTCAAGGTTCTCCCAATATTTATCAAACTTTTGTTTCATGCGCTCTGCCATAGAACTCAAGAGACTGTCTCCACTTCTAGACAAACGAACCAACCTAGTTTGCAATGCCACGAGTTTATGAAAAAATGCATTCGATGTGACATAAAGAGATCCCGAAAACCGCAATGTTATTGTAGAGAACAATGATGTGGGCCCCACAGCTGTGGTCCCCACTGTGTTTGTAGGACAGTATGTGCAATTATTTGTTTCAGTCATGTTAGTGTTAGTTGGTGGTCAGTGTGCTCAGGGGGAGAGCAGTGAGAGTGGGGATTTGGGTCTTTTTCCTCAGGGGGAGCGCAGTGAGAGTGGGGTTAACACATCTGAGGCTGTTCCTTTACCTATTCCATTGGGTGATGAAGGTTGTAATCGTGAGGGTGGTCAGAGGGATCAGGAGTTGAAAGTCTATCACAGGCGATGCAGGTAGGTTGATCCCGGTCATCGGCAGTCCAAGCCAGCTCCAGTTCCTTCTACGGCTCCAGATCAAGGTATTACAGTCCCAGGGCCCACTGAGACACCTTCCACTGTTGCCACTTCCCCTCCTGCGGATGACCTTGACCTCAAGGCATACAAGATGGGACTGTAAACTTAGGTAGTTCTTAAATCCTTCCCCCTCCACAATCCTAAAAGGTAATTCATTAATCATAGCCATTTTAGCAGGCTCCTTTCTAGCTTCCTCAACACTAAAGGTCATTGCTTTTAGCTTACCCGTAGTGAGACCATCTTCTTCTCCTTCATTTTTAGGCTCAAAAGACATTATCTTTTGCCTTTTATCAACCTTATTGGCATATTTCGTGCATTGTTGCTGCAAATGACTCCACCTGTTACTAGTGCCATGATTTTTTGTGTCACATGCGTAGTCTTTGCCATAATAGTTACATGCAGCCCTAGGTTCATCCTTATCCTCCATTTTAGTGAAATGATCCCAAATTTCTGATTTTAATCTAGAACCTTGCCTTTTGTTTTGCTTAGTGGGCTGTGTCCTAGTAATTTTACGAGGAGCAGGGGGATTTTTTACCAGATTTGCAGCCTCAGAATCTTGTTGCTTTGAGCCCATTGCTATTGGATCTTCAAGTTCTTCAACTCCATGCACATTTTCA